ACAACCATAGTTACCTATTAACCATAAGTGATTAAATTATTGTTAGATACCTACCGCACAATCATAGTTACCTATTAACCATAAGTGATTAAAGTATTGGTAGAAACCTACCACACAATCATAGTTACCTATTAACCATAAGTGATTAAAGTATTGATAGAAACCTACCACACAATCATAATGGTTAATAGGTAACTATGATTGTGTGGTACAATACTTTAATCACGTGGTAGGTTTCTAAACAACCATAGTTACCTGACACAACAACTCTTGAAAGGCTGACTCTACATTTTTTGCTTCTCGAGCTGCAGAACACTCGTGAAATGAACATCTAGGATAAACAAGAGCAACACGTTGGCCTTCCTTTGGACACACCGCCCTGAAATCCAAACCAAATTGATTTCATCATAGTTATAAAGATAACACCGTTATTATATATTGTTTGTTTCTGATATGATTGATACATACTGTATTTAACTATTATTTGTGTACTTTACTGGTGAAGTTTTCCAGAAGGTTGGTCTAAAAGTTTGAATTTGTTTTATGCTTCAATAAGAGACAGGAAAAAATGTGTTCGTAGACAAATCGTTGTGCCACTGGGGGGCGCTATGCCTCTTAGTTACCTCATTTTGTTAATCGTGTGCGTGTTATTTTGTTTGTTTAATAGAAACGCATCTAAACTCATCGGATAACTAATGGTGTGTGTGTTTTTATTAGCTTCACTTGAAAATTTCATGTTTAAATAATGGTGCGTGTTTTTATTAGCTTTACTTGAAAATTTCACGTTTAAATAATGGTGCGTGTTTTTATGAGCTTTACTTGAAAATTTCACGTTTAAATAATGGTGCGTGTTTTTATGAGCTTTACTTGAAAATTTCACGTTTAAATAATGGTGCGTATTTTTATGAGCTTTACTTGAAAATTTCAAATTTAAATAATGGTGCGTATTTTTATGAGCTTTACTTGAAAATTTCACGTTTAAATAACAGTGCGTATTTTTAGGAGCTTTACTTGAAAATTTCACGTTGAAAAAAAATGTGCTCGAGAAGATCTTATCTGTTATTATATAATTTCTGTGATCCGAAAACAAATAAGTTAAATGCAGACATAATTATTCACATATTTTATAAGGATTATCATATAGTACACTAGAAAAGTCTGCTTTCAAAGGAGTCACGAGTTTTCAGGAATCTTACGAATCGTCTCTGTGGTTACGAAGCCCATGAATTACGTGAAAATCGAAACCTTTAAATGAAAATAAACGTATAAATCATGATAGTGTTTAATAGTCGTGTCGAGTGGATGGAAATTTTAAGTTTTGTACACTAAATTCCTGCTTTATTAAGTAATCTATATTAATAAAATGTTACATAATTAAAGGTTAGTAACAGGTTGACATATGTTAATCATAAGTTGTTGGTCTACCTATATTTTGTGTGGCTGGGACCCCCCAGTGGCACAGCGGTATGTCTGCTGACTTACAACGCTAGAACCCGGGTTTCGATACCCGCGGTGGGCATTGGGTAGCTTTGTGCTTAATTACAAACAAACAAACAAACTTGTCTGTCTGGGGTCTGGCGTAAGCTTGTCGTTAGTATTTTTGGACTGCGAATCAAAGAGATCGTGGTTCGCATCCAGTTGGTGCAAAAACAAGTTATAAGAGTAACGGTCAAATCAGACAAGAGTAGTCCAATAACACAGGCCTGCGAATTTAACCTTCATAAAAGTTGTTTTGATTTTAATAACTGATTTTCCATAATTGAGCTACGCAGATTTCGTAAATAATATTATCATTTTTTTCTATCACGCAAGGATTTCTTTTTTTTTTACAAATCGGACGAAAAGTATTGCGTTATGACATTTTGTGAAAACATCTGTACGTGATGGAGAAAAATGGATATCATTTCCGAATTCAGCGTACAGTAGAACATATAATAAACTTAAAATAAGACCCAAAACTCGAGCGCTTTCGAATAGTTGACTATTCTTATTACACTTTTAATGTGATCCTTTATGCTAACTCTTTTATCAAGTAGAACATGTAAATATTTGAAGGCAATAAAACCATCGCAGGCCGTGGATGATGTAGACTAGCTACCTTATCTCTAATCTATCAGTTCAAACTTAGGGACGGCTGTGCCTAGATAACCCTTGCATACAAATGCTTACGCTTGAAGTAGCCATAGTCCATAGTCTGATGCTGTATAGAGGTTTCACCTTCAAGATGTGAGGCTTTCATAAACGGAAGTTTAAATTGAAGAGTAGAGCGTGGCCTAGTGATTAGTGTGTCGGATCGTGGATCAAAGTGGTTCAAGACTTGATGCCGCTGAACACTTTCGAAACTGTGAGCTGTGAATGCACTAAAAAAAAAGTGACAGTGATTTCCGTTGTTCGGTTCCAAGGGTCGGACAAGTCTTTTGTGGAGGTGGGTGCTGCTGGATGACTGCCTTCCCTTCTGGTCAGTAGTTCAAAATTAACTACTGCTGTACCTAAGTTTTAGGCTTTGGTTTGTTTTGAATTTCGCGCAAAGCTACACGAGGACCATCTGCGCTAGCTGTCCCTAATTTAGCGGTGTAAGACTAGAGGGGAGGCAACTAGTCATCACCACCCACCGCCAAATCTTGAACTACTCTTTTACCAACGAATAGTGGGATTGACCGTCACATTATAACGCTCCACGGCTGAAAGGGCGAGTACGTTTGGTGGGACGGCGATTCGAAACCGCGACCCTCAGATTGCGAGTCAAGCGCCCTAACCACCTCGCCATGCTGGGCCAAGTTTTAGGAGTCTCTGATTTGACCGCTTAGCCCACGTACAAATAGGTTGAAAATTTCAAGTTAAACTCACATTAAAATTATATATATATATCTGTGCTTTGAAGGTGAACAATACATTTTTATAGGTGGGTACACAGAAGTAAGCTTTCCATTATCTTCTATCTGCACAGCATGATAGAAGAAATACGCCTCAAATGTTTAATGTCTTGGTTACAGCCAGCAATAACACATACCTCAAAGTCTGTGATAATTAAATAGGAGTATGCTGTGATGAAGTGAGCTCGTGGGAATAAAAGGTAAAGAGAACAAAGGTACTAATAATGCCAGTGGTCAAGAACACAAGCTCTGCCAAAGCCACAGGAAAGAAGGGAGGCTAGCCACTCTAATTCCGGTACACGCATCTTCGTGAAAAAAATTAGTGCTCTGGTGGGACAGCTGGAGGTTTACTAGCTTACAACGCTAAAATACGGGTTTCAATTCCCCGCGGTGGACACAGCATATAGTGCAATGTGGCCGGGTTCTAAAAAAAAAAAAAAACAAACAAACAAGACAAACGAAAGAAAAATAAAATTTAGTAAATAAAAATTAGTATTTACGGGTTATTTGTTTTTTTTTTTACTTTTAGTAGTAAAGGTACGACATTAGGTACGTGTCTGTCTGTGTTCTATCGTGGGGTAAGGACGAAC